GAAAGCATTGTCTAATCCCCTCACAGGGCTTCAGTTACGGAACGTTTCTGGGCGGAACCTTCGCCAGCCTGTATCCATCACGAGTGGGGAGGATGATAGTAGACGGTTGTGGCGAATGGGAAGACGAGGCTTCCGGAGAGTTCCTGGGCTTCCTGCTTGACACGGACAACGAATGGTCCGAGTTCTTCAGACTTTGCTACGCAGCAGGGCCTGATAAATGCGCGATATACAATAAGGATGGCCCCAATGCGATGCAGAAGTCTGTCGCCGACCTGTTGGGGACCCTGCAGACCAGTCCAATACCTGTCTACGAGGACGGTATGCCTTTTCCGGATCTCTTTACCAGGGATATCTTGGTTCAAGGCATATTTGGGGCACTTTACCGACCGTATCGAGACAGCGCATGGGTCAAGCTGGCGGAGACACTCTCGGCTCTCTTGAATGGTACTGTCCCCTCCGGAGCGATCGACATGCTGCCGTCCCGCAAGTTTCACATTTCAGTGGATGGGTGCAAGACCTCGGATTGTGTCACTGAAGGGATGAGCGAAGGCTTCTGGAGCGAAATCAATTACGGCATTTATTGCACCGACGGGCTCGACTTCCGCAACATCTCCAAGTCGGAGATAGCTGGTTGGGTTATCACCCTCCAGCAACAAAGCCCGTTATTCGGCAATATGTTCGCCACTACTTCGAAGCTGCCTTGTGTTGGGTATCCGGCCCGACCGAAGTGGCGCTTTGGCGGCCCCTTCGGCGGCAAAACTAAAACCCCAATGCTATTCATCGGTAACACCTTTGATCCAGTGGCACCGCTTGAGGGCACTCGCAAGAACGTCGAACATTTCGAAGGAGCAAGATTGCTGCAGCAAGATTCAGTGGGACATTGCTCTACAAACGCCCCAAGCAAATGCACCGTGTCTTATATTCGGAGATATCTCGTTTCCGGCGAGTTACCCGAGGAAGGTACAATCTGTCCTGTAGACAGCTCTCCATTCGACGAGGACATGTAGACATATCCAGTCGTCGTTCTTCATAGCATTTACTGTATTGCGTTCTTTGGGACACTTAATAGTTCGGTGTAATTGTAAACTATGTGCAAGAAGGCTAGATAAGGTAGGAGAAGAGCAACTCGAGACGCATTCTGCCCCCAGTCAGGACAAAATCTAAGAGGCAAAGACATGTTCACAAGCAATGCCGTCCAGATTTTATCGCTCAAGAGATACTAACTGGTCTTAAATGGCATCAGAGACATTGCGAGTACCACTGGTTCGAAGCAGTGCAGGTCGACCCCGACTCGCAGCAGGTGGCCCCGGTCCAACCAGACCCGCCACACTGGCTCCATTTGGCAGCACACTGCAAGAAACAAGTATCAGAAAAATGTTAACCACGAGGATATGATTGGAGGACTTACGCTTCCACCACCGCCACTAGGTGGAGGGTTGCTGGTGGGAGGCGGGCTGGTACTGCCGCCATCAGAGCCAACAGTGATTGACGCGGAGCCGCTGCTGAAGTAGCCCTCCGTCGCAACAATCTGGTAGTCATGGGTACCGAGGTTCAATCCGACGGCAGCCCAGGCGTTGAAGTGAGTTCCGGTATTGACAGTGCCGCCGGTTCGCTTGCTCTGACGGACGGACCAGTACTGCTGAAAGGTCTTGGTGCCCTCAATGGACGGGGCGTTGGTTCGAGTGCTAACGTAGATGTCGTAGGTTCCGCCGTCGCTGGTGACGGAGCCCTTCCTTGTTGCACCGGAGGAGGGGTTGTAAGTTCCTGTAGTTTGGAACAGTGATGTTAGTGACGGAAGACATAACGAGAGAGGTAACGGCGTAAATAGTGGCTGCGCTCTTACCAAAGTTCTCGACGATGTAGTACTTTGAAACATTAGCGAACAAATATCAAGAGCTGTTACTTCAGGAATAATACCTCAATCAAGGGGTTCCTCGTCCAGCCATAGACGGCGAGGTAACTGTTGCCGTTGGGGCTGTATGTTCCCGAGTAGGTAATAGTTCTAACTGTTTGTTAATGCCAAGACGTGCACTGTTCTCAAAGATGATAGTGGCATACCTCGCACTGCCCGGGTTCCATCCCTTTCCACCGACGAAATTACCTCCAGTTTGCCAAACAACAGAGTACGAGCCTCCGGCCCCATTGGTGTACGTCACTTGTGAGCCACCGTCAGTCCACCAAGAGTAGTAGTATCCATTGTGAGTTCCGGTTGAGCTTGGTGTAGATTGGCGCTTGATCAGGTCTCCAGGGAGAGCAAAGACTCCAACGGCAGTGGTAATAGCCACCAGAAGAGACGAGAAAGAGACCATGTTGCAAACTACGCGCGGAAGTTGGCGTCGTTGAAGAATGATTCGATGTTCTCGGGGGAGGGGGCTTCTCACCTTTATATTTTCTTAACCCTATGTGAAGATGCCCTCAAACTTGGCATTTTCCACGATGTTGTGGCGTCTGAAAAGGCCCCTTTCGTGTAACTCTCCGTGCTGCGTGTGAAGCAACTGCCTATGAGAGCAGGTGGAAGGAATATTGATGCGCCACTTCATTTGGTTATACCATTCTGTTGGCTGCAGCTGGAAGTTTGGTTTAAGAATGCGCTTGCTTGGGTTGCATTATTTGGACGAGTGTGACCATGAGTGTGCCTCGAATTCAGCCGGCACCTAGGCCTTGGCACGAAGCTGTTATGGAGGCTGGTGCCAGTGATGTATCGACGTGACCTATCTGAGGTCCTGTTCTGAATACGACATACTTAGTTGCTTCTACGTACATTTTGTACCTTCGCCATTATTTATCGTGGTATCGCTTACTCACATTCAACTACCGTAACCTCAGCATCGGTTTCGAAAATCTACAAACAACTGATGAATATAAGTGATTTTTACGAAGAAATCTTCGCTATACAGATGACGCTCGTCATCCGTCGGTCCATGATCAATGTGGCTGGCAACGGCGGAGGTGAGCCGCCAAAAGAGATTCGGAGGTTCCATCCCGCACAAGACTACCGACTTCTCCACACTTGGTTACACGTGTGAGGACCAAAACTTTGGTTCATGCGATTTTAGCCGGCGGTAGAATGCATCGAAGGTAGCATTCTTGCCATATCCTGATATTTCCCTTCGGGTTCGCGATTACCTCACCCATGGTAAATACCCGGCCCGGGCCACGCGACCATACAAAAACTCGTGTGGCGCTCTTGGCATTCTTCGTCTTCTCAGGTCCTGGCCAGACCTTTCGGTATCTTCGCAGACTTTCAAGCATGTCTTAATTGCGAGGATTGCCAAGAACGATTTAGCTGATGCTGTCAATTGAGGGGGCAGTCGTACCTCAGAGGCGTCAGTCCCCAATTACTCAACAATGATGAGCGCTTGTCAACTCTCAGCCGCGAACTGGTTTCTTTGTGGTACTGCCTCGAGGCAAGTCTCAAGACGACAGCGCCTTATCTTCCAAGGTCAGCTGAGCGCAGCCGGCCATTAAGGGAACAAAGGTGGGCCAAGCCTCGACCCGCGAACCGGAGCAGGCGGTGGTGGCCTATCATAACGCAAGGCATCATCAACAATCAGAGGGCACTCATCTCAATGTCTACAAACAGTACTTTTGTGTATAGGAATGCTATATAAGAACAATGTGAATTCGCAAGCCAGGAATATAGAGCAGTCCTTCTGACTTCCGAGTGATTCAGCAACAGGCAGAGAAATACTTGCCTACGCTATATGCCACAGGCCAGTTCGCATACTTCTTACTGTGTTTTCTCCCCTACGTACAAGCAGACATTCCCAACAAAAGATGATCATGGAATCTACGCTAATCAGAGCTTCATTAATCAAACAATTCGTCATCCAAAGCTTCTGCTCATTTTTAATCCATAATCACATCAGACAATTCTGCTACCTTGGACCCCCAATACCACGCCAGCTTACATGTACATGTATTTCATCGGCATTAGGTTTCCGACAAAGACTAGAATCTTCATGATGAACGCCATTGAGAAGACCAAGCACTGGATATCGGCATGTTGCCTGGCTTTGCAAGCTTCCGAACCCATCTACTCATATGCAGGGAAGCCAACCCGTCTCGGTTGACGGGGCACGGATATTTCCCTTCATCGGAAAACAAAATTCCAAAGCAGGTGAAAATCCCCGAAATGGTGACTAATGACGAAAGCCGTCTAGGGGTTCTCTGTTTCACATCTACAGATGGCAGCTGATTCCGATAGCTGAGCTGAGTACCGGATTATTCTTGCCTTTCTGGGCGCGTTTACTGATCGAATAATGTGAAGCTGCCGGCTAACCGTGTGTCGTAGTTTCTTTTGGGTGAATGGAGTGCGAGCGCAACTGGTCGTTACGGAATCCATGCCTAAGCTGGTCAAGGTAGGCAGTAAATGCGCGACGCTAAGAGCAATGACTCGGGTCACCAGCCCGTAGAAGTCGCAAACTCATTGGGGAAACCAGTAAATGTGCCATTTCCCCAGATGAACCCCTACTAACTTACCCCGCGATCACTTGCTTGATCTCCGCCAACCTTTCCCGGCTTACCCCCACGAATCCATTCTCACGTCTCCCGCACATCCACAGTTACAGAAGGAACATCATGATGGCCCTGTCTCTGTCCATCAGAGCCTAGATTTTGTCAATCTGGTGGGTCTGCCATGGACTTCAGGAGAGCCTCCTCAAGGCTGTTGGTATATGCTGGACCAATCATAAACTCAGAACATGGTTCGGACTTGCGCATCAAGACTGCCGTCCGTCGGGTTTCTCCCCGCCCACTAGCGTCAGCTTGACATTGCCTACCTACCCTGATATTGACAAGATGAACCTTGCTGCCGAAGACTTGAACCTGAAAGACATGAGAACATGCCATCCGGTCGGACTACGTGCATAAGAAGCTCGGACATCTTACCCTCTTATCAGGAATTGCTTCTCACCAACCTCACAACCTATTCAGTCCTTTTCCACCACTCACTCTTACTTCCACCTCTTGTTTACACCTGCAATCATCAGTCGTTGGACATGGGTGTTGTCAACAAAGACGACGAGGCCCCCAGCCCAGGGGTCCAACACATCGAACAAGATACTGCTGTCGCCGATGCCATCAAGGCTGTTGAGCATCGTGATCTTGAGCGTATTGAGGAGACTCAACCCGGTGCTTTCGTCTGGCTCTGCGCCGCAGCAACTGCTATTGGCGGCATGCTCTTTGGGTACGACACCGGTGTCATCTCTGGAGTTCTGGTCGTCATCGGAACAGATCTGGGTGGGAAAGAGCTCACTCATTCCGAGAAGGAGCTTGTCACCGCGTTGACTGCCGCTGGTGCTCTTCTAGAGGCCATCTTCGCCGGCCTCACGGCAGACAAGCTCGGACGAAAACCCTCGATCTGGTTCGCCAGTGTTCTGTTTACGCTCGGAGCTGTGATTCAGTCAGCGTCCTTCTCTGTCGCTCAGATGGCCGTAGGACGTCTTGTTAATGGCCTTGGGATTGGCTCAGCATCTATGGTACGTCTAACGCTCAATTATTGACCAGTAAAGCAAGCCATCTGACATCGGACCTATGCAGATCGTGCCACTATACATCGCCGAGATATCACCTGCAAGGTTCCGAGGCCGTATGATTTCTGTCGATATGATATTCCTCGGCAGCGGCTCGGTGCTTGCTTATGCCTTTGATGCTGCCTTCTACAAGATACCTCATGAATGGCGCTACATGACAGCAATTGGAGGCATTCCTTCTATCGTGCTAGGAATCCTCCTCTTCTGGTGCCCCGAGTCCCCACGTCAGTTGATGTTCCACGGAAAGCGAGAAGAGTGCGTCCGAGTCCTCCGCAGAATCTACCCCAACGGTAGTGAAGACGAAATTGCCGATTAGATTACTTCCATCGAACGTGGAGTCAACCAAGCTAAAGCTCTTAATGAGGAAATCTCTCTTCGGAAGTCTGTCACAAGGATTTTCACTATCCCTGCGAACCTGAGGGCTGCTATTTGTGCTTGCGGACTGATGCTATTCCAACAATTCTGCGGTTTTAACACATTGGTCAGCACCCTATAGGCTACAATGATGCATCAAAAAGCTAACAAGAGGTTAGATGTACTACTCCAGTACCCTGTTTCAGATCGTGGGCTTCTCCAACCCCATTGCAGTTGGCACCGTTGTAGCCGGAACGAACTGGATCTTCACAGTTCTATCTATCTTTCTTATCGATCGAGTTGGACGTCGCAGACTCCTGCTCTGGACAATGTGGGGAATGCCTGTTTGCCTAGCCATCGCAGCCATCGCTTTCCACTGGATTCCCCTGGACCTCAACACTTTGGAGCTCAAGACCCAGGAAGTCGGCTGGCCAGCCATCCTGGTCTTGGTCTCAATGATCATGTTCGTGGCGTTTTACGCCGCTGGCTTGGGCTGTGTTCCTTGGCAGGCCAACGAGTTCCTCCCCATGGAGGTCCGAGCGAGTGGCACAATGATGATCAAGTAAGCCTTCTTCGACGAACGTGTATCAAAACGCACGCTGACGGTTATGCAGCATTTTCAACTGGGGACCAAATATTATCGTTTCTTCTACATTTCTGTCTATGATGCGAGGCATGACACCATCTGGCACCTTCGGGTTCTACGCTGGCTTGTCATTCCTCGGCTGGGTGTTCGTGATTTTCTGCGTCCCTGAAGCTGCCAATATGACATTAGAGGAAATTCGTGTGGTATTTGAGCATGGCTTCGGTGTCAGATATGCTGAGGAGTGGAGGAAACAGAGAAAGCTGGACTTGCAGGCAAGAAGGGAGGAGGCCAACGTTTAGAAACTGTTAGCAACTGATTTACTTTCATGTCAACGCCCTTTAAAGGTTCATTTAGCGCAGATTTAGCGCAGGAGGCTTTCTCTATGGAATTTAGGTACGAAATAATGAAGATGGTGACGCAAAAGGTGCCAGGACCCTAAAGGTCTATCTCCTTTTTACTGAAGCTTGAAATCCCTCAGATCATTGGTTTGCGACTCAGTAATATGTCGGGTGTACTCAACCAATCCGCCCAAGAAATTGAGCATTTCTGTTCATTCGTGTCAGCGTCTGCTCTTTTGGAACAAAGATATCGAGGGAGTTCCCTACCTTTGGGCTTTCCGGGTATGTTGGTACCCATGTACTCAGACTGGGTCTGTGGCAGAAAGGTGGCGTCTCCAATGTTGTTCACGAGTCGTCTCCAAGCTTGTTCAGCCTCCTGACTAGGTTCGATATAAGTCTTGCCGTGCTCACGCAGGAAAACCAACGTATCCCGAATCCAATTGCCCTGGAGCTCTGCGCATGTAGGCCCATTGCAGAAAGACGTAGGCCCTTGCGGCCCGTAGATGAAGAAGGCGTTTGGAAATTCCGATGTCATCATCCCGAGATGAGTGGTAGTGCCCTTGGCCCACTTCTCCTTCAAAGATTGCCCCTTCGTGCCCTTAATGTCGATGGCGAGAATGCCTCCAGTGACCGAGTCGAAACCAGTTGCGAGGATGAGGACGTCAAACTTGCGGAGCTCTCCATCAGCAGTGAAGACGCCGTCCGGAACAACCTCGGCGATGGGGTTTGCCTTGGTGTTAATCAAGGTGACATTGTCGCGATTGTAGACTTCGTAGTACCGCTGTTCAAGGGTAGCCCGTTTGGTTCCAAAATAGTACGGCGGCTTTGCTGGCGCCAGCAGGTCTTGCATCTCTGGCTTGTGCACCCTCTTCAAAACCTTGCTGCGCCAGAACTCATACGCATGCTGGTTTGCTTCCTTGTTTCTGATGACATCTTGGTAGGTGCCGAGCCAAAACGAAAGTCCACCCTTGGCCCAAATCTTTTCGAAGAATGCCTGCCGTTCGTCCGCCGTAGCATCAGCACAGGTCGCGGGGTTGAACTCGAAGTCGAGGCCTGCGAAGGTCTTCTTGCGAAGATCGTAAAGAGCCTGGTAGGTCTCCTTTTTCTGATCTTCTTCCGAGAGGGGGGTTTGTCGCATCGGAAGGGCATAAGTAGGGCTGCGTTGGAAGACTGTCAGATGTTCAACCTCAGGAGCAATCTCCTGGATGACCTGAAGTCCACTGGAGCCGTTGCCGACGATGCCAACTCGTTTTCCCTTGAAGTCAATGCCTCCCTGAGGCCACTTTGAGGTGTGGCAGCATATGCCGGCGAACGAATCCAACCCCTTGAAGTCCGGAATGTTCGGCTTCGCCGCAAATCCGGTGCAAAGGATGAAGTATCGAGATCTGAACACAGTCTGGTCCTTGGTAACAATGGTCCACTGGTTCGCGCTTTGGTCGAACTCAGCACTGACGACTCGAGTATTGAATCGCACATCCTTCTTAAGATGGAGCTTGGATTCGACGTGGTTGAAGTAGTTGCGGATCTCATCGCGACCTGGATACTTCTCGGACCAAGTCCACGGTCTCCAGATTTCCTCCTCTGAGAACTCGTACAGAGGAACAGGCGTGTCGACACGAGCTCCGGCATAGCAGTTCCAGTACCAGACACCGCCTAGATCGGCCGCATCATCTAGAACGAGTGTCTTGAAGCCGGCTTTGCGCAGCTGGTCAAGGGCGTAACATCCTGCAAAGCCAGCACCCACGATGATCGCGTCGTACTCGGGAGAAGGGAGAGAACCCATTATGAGATTTTCAGGTTGAATTGGAAAGAAAAGAAGAATTCTTAATAATCGGTTGTTGTCTCTAAATCTATTGGTTTAAGACGAGGGAAAGAAGTTGGCCGCTGGTGTCCTTATAGTACCTAGGTTAGTCCCTGATTCCTTCGCACGGTCAGGCATCTTTCTCATCACTGTGATTTGGTACATCATAGGCCTCACAGCGATCCAACGGTTGACCAGCCCCTTCTCCTTCACTACACGCCATCGTGAATATAGATACGTGTACACGGACGGACTATTTAGGTTTCGGGCATGGTTAATGGCGAAAATCAAGGATAAAAGCTTAAAGCTGGTTGTCAAACCATGAAGAAAACAAGGACATGGCCCATTGTGACGATGTCCGTCTGGAGTATGTTGACGGCGCTGCTGTTTTCTCGGTGCGATTCCCACTCAAAAATTGTGGCTCTATCATGGCTTCAAGAAAATGGCGGGTGCAATGGGCGGCAGGCACTGCGCGGCATTTGGGAATTCGTCCGGATCAGGGGCAATTGCCCAAAATCAGTCCGAGGCCCAAGAGTATCAGCCCATAAGGGCCAATCATCATCCCAAGATCCACGACTGAGTGGATGCGAGCAGGGTGGCGACCTCTTTGAAGAACCTCACCATGTCCATTTCTATTCCGGTCCAGATGTCTTCAAATTTTCGGGTTTGGTTCAAATGACGTCAAAGGACATTTCAAACTATTGGGTGTGGTTCGCAAGATGGCAGGATGCTGATATTAATGTTGAAGCGTTCAGCAATACCCTGATTTACACTGTCTCAAGGGTGCAAAGAAGAGGCCCAATGCCTGTGCCCGTGTGACTGGCGCCTGGGATAGCCCCACGACGGGACGATGAAAACCCACCTGTCTACGTTTCGCGGAGTTGGACATGGCTGGGCTCTTGACTTCATTCATGAACCAGCCCGGCCTTCTGACTGTAATCACCTCTATCATGACAGTGAATCTTGGTGACCGCGAAGAGCCGGGGAATTCACCCACTGACATTGCACAGGAAGTCGAACTATCGGATCTCAGCTGCAGATCTTGCAAAAGGTGTGGCCCCACCCTGCTATGCGTGACTCAGGGAGCGTCCATGTGCTGATCAGGTCTGACTGGCCCGCAGAAAGAAAGCCAAATGGTGAGTTGCTAAGCCGAAGACGACACGGGCTTACCTGAATTCTAATCGCAATTTGCAGCGACCGCTCTTTGCCTCATTGCCTGCTTTGCAAAAAGACTTCTCGCGCATGCATCTATCCGTCCACGCGTCTCAAGCCGGGACCTAAACTAGGTAGGGTAGACCATTCCAAAGTGCCTTTCTACCAAGAACTGACAAACGTGTATAAAGGCTCACGGAATCGCAAGCGCCAACGAACTTCCGACGAGGCTGTCCACATCAGCCTGGGTACACCGGCCGTTCCCTGTCAAGGCACACCAACGGAGCAATTTAGCAACCCACCTGCAGTAGTTGAGTCGCAAGGTTTTGACCCTCCTGCCAAAGTTTGGGAGCACCAAGATGGCTTCTTGCTACCCCGATCCACGGGACAAGACGAGAACATACGCCCTGGCTCCTCCCATGTTTCTGACACCAGATTCGTCCGCGCCATCAGCCTCTCTGCCCTAGTCCACCCTTCTCATGAAGCAAACGTGACACCTCTTTCGAGGGGTCCCTCGCCGACAAATGGCGGTTTCTTCGTTAGACTTGCGGAGACCCAGAACGTTCTCATGCAGGTCTGCGAATCACTTGGGTTATCGGTCGAGTCACTGCAACTGCTGTGCGTCATGTAAATTGTTAACTGTTCATCCACGTTCCGGCTTGCTGATAATGCTCTTAGCACCAATCTGTATTTCGAAAACATGACAGCGTTATCTCTTTTCCATCAACCATCTTTTGGGGACAAGATTCAGGCCATCCCAAGCACTCTTCATCTGGGCGCCTTGATGTCGGCGATGTTCTCCATTTCCGCACGCTTCACTGATGACGAGACTCTATCTCTCGCTGAAGCACAGCGTAGCTCATCTCACGCATATTTCCATGGCCTGGCCAGGACACTCATTGATCAAGCTATCGACGAGTGTGACGACGATCCACCACCACTCTGTCTTCTTCAAGCATTGATATTGTGCACCTTTTACGAACTCACAAGGGGCGTCCGTGGTCGTGCATGGCGGATGGTAGGCACATGTGTGAGGGTGGGATATGAACTCAGACTTCATCTGGTTGACAGCATGGCACCAACAACCCCGCCGTCAACCACTGCAGACTTGAATCAGTGGTCAGATATGGAAGAAAGACGGCGCAGCTGGTGGGCCATCTGGGAAATGGATGTCTTTGCATCAACAGTGCGCCGCTGCCCCACTGCCATTAGCCAGGATATCAACGAAACGTAACTTCCTATACCCGATGACATGTGGTTCACGAATACATATCAGTCAAGCTGCTTACTTGACCCCAACCCGACGGAGAGGTCAAGAAAGCTGGCTTTGTCGCGTAATAACAGTAGCGCTGCATGGTTTATTACTATTAACTCTATCATGCGGAACGCGCAGGTACTAGCCCAAGGAAACCTGCATAGTATACTTTCGGACCTTGCGCCGGGAGACGACTTTCACTCTCTTAAACGATACTTTCACGGATCCTTTCGTAGAAGACAGTCCGCTAAAGACACCAGACAACTGTCAATGTTGCTGAAGGCTCTCCAGCAAACCGTTGCTAACTTGCCGCAACGGCTTGCTTACAAGGGTGCTCAACTTGGTTTTGGGTCTTCGACACCTTCGTTCGCAAGCAACAAAACTCAAGCAGTTTCTGATAGAAAGTTGGATGCCGCGCAACATTCAATCTTTCTCGCAACCCAGCTGGCGCGGTTCATGATTTATCATCACTAGGCTTTCAGTGAAGTATTGCTTGGTACGATATTCTCAGAATCTGGCAGTTCTTCCCCGTCTTTAGGGTGGACTGCTACACCTAGAGACCCAAAGGAGAGGCTTTCTCACTCGGAAGGACTACGTAACTGTCTCGAGGCATCTGATGACATTTACGCCATTATCTGCCGTTCATCAGATACAGACGTCAAATGGACCAGCCCCTTCTTAGCGAGCACGGTATGGCTAGCGGCTTCTCTACAGATTTTACGCAAAGTCTTCGCTCGGTCAATCTGCGATGAA